CCTTCCTTTAACGGAATCGATTATACGACCCAAAAAGGAGGATTGGAACTTTGTTGCATAAATTGTCTCTCCAAACGCTGTAAAATAAGCAATGAATTCATTTTCATCCTTCAAATCACCCGGAGAGGATGGCATTTTCCCAGCCCTTTTACAAAAAGGACAGGAACTCCTGCTATCCCTCCTTGTGAGGTTGTTTAGAGCAAGCCTGGGGTGGAGCTATATCCCGCTAGAAAGGACGTTGGCGTATATACACAATAGTAGATACCTCCCTACCAAACTCTTATCGTCCAATCTGCCTAACATCCTTTCTTCTAAAAACACTAGAAAGGATTCTAGATAAGCATATTAGAGAAGGAGGCCTTCGGGCAAACCCGTTAAACTCCTCCCAATATGCCTACCAAGCAGGCAAATTGACAGATCATGCCCTGCACAATCTAATAGGCAAAATCGGCCATTCCCTAAATCAAGGGGAGATTGCTAGATGCCTTCCTAGATATAGAAGGTGCGTTCAACAACGTCCTTCCTCAGTCTTTATTCGCTTCTATTGAAAGAAGAGGAATCGACAAACTAACTTGTAATTGGATCAAAAGCATGCTAGCAAACCGGAACATCACTTCATCACTGCAGGGAGAGATTGTCACTTTTAGGCCTGCCAAAGAATGTCCACAAGGCGGCGTACTTTCACCCCTACTGTGGACTATTCTTGTGGATAACCTACTAGACGATCTCTCCCGACAGGGGGTGGATTTCCAATGCTATTCGGACGATTTGGTTATCATAATTAGGGGAAGCTCAAAGAGGTGATCTCCAACATCCTTCAACAAGCCCTTAATATGATCAACAGATGGTGCGAGAGGGAGGAGATGTTTGTTAACACCCACAAAACTGTTATTGTCCACTTTACCAAGAGAAAAAAGATCGACAAGCTTCGACAACCTACCTTGGCTGGGGAAACCATTGCATGGAGCAGAGGGAAAAAACCTTCTCCCAGGCAGACTATGCGTTGTACACGGACGGCTCCAAAACTAAAAAAGGAGTAGGTGCAGGAGTTTTCGGCCAGAGGCCTAGAGTTGACATACCAATAAACCTAGCAAAAATATTATATTTTTTCCATTTAGAAGATATCACCAGACTCATTAGCCAATTTCGTAAATCAGCCTATTATTATAAACAGTTTATGATTGTATCAATTTATATGCTCAATTTTCTGCCACACTCACTTTCCACTATCTGAGATAATGCAAACTGCTATTTTTATAAGCTTTATGTTCTAGTTTAGTAAATGTAAAATAGTTATGACTGGGAAAATAAGTGTCAGACTCAAAAAATTTGTTTTTTGTCACTAAGAGAACAGTTTATTTTTCATATACACCAACTGGAAAAATGAATACGAAAAAAATTCACTGCCTCCTGAACTAAATGTAAAATTGCAGAATCAATCAAATGGCATGATTCATTTTATTTTTTAATTTCTGTTCTGAAATCTGAAATGTTCGGGTGGATGTGCGATAAATGTTCGAACTATTTTTGGGGGGGGGGCTAATTTGGTTTTTGGGGACTTAGCCCCCCCAAGCCCCCCCTTAACTTCGCCCATGCGAAGTGAGGAAGCACTATAATAGGGCCAAACACAGAAAAGATTAGCAGAGCTACACCGACGTGCTTACTACCTACAACAAAGAAATCAGAAAAGCTAAACGTAACAGCTTTAGAAAATTCTGCAAGGATATTAACTCTACACCTGCGGTAGCGAGACCACACAGGGCCCTTGCAAAAGGGAGAGTTGATACAGTTATAACATTAAAGAAACCAAATGGAAGCTTCACGAAAAGTTAGGAGGAAAGAGCTTGCCTCTTACTTGAAACTCACTTTCCTGGAAGCACACCTTTTCTAATAAGGGACACAACTAAGGTAAGCAGATCCCCAAGGGAGGCCGCTATAATCGATTAAAGTGGGCCGTAAACACTTTTGAACCTCCAGGTGTTGATGGAATAATTCCTGTTCAGCAGGCACAAAAGGAATTACTACCACACATAATCCGGCTATCCCGGAGCAGTCTGGAGCTAGGATATATACCAGAAGCATGGAGAAGGGCCAGAGTCACCTTTATTCCAAAAGTAGAGAAAAAGGATACCACACATCCTTAATCCTTCCGACCAATCAGCCTCACATCCTTTGTATTAAAAACAATGGACAAGGGTGTTGATAATTATATCAGAACAGAAATCCTGCAGAGAGTGCCACTTCACCATAGCCAACACGCATACCGAGCAGGAAGATCTACAGAAACTGCCCTGGTAGAGTTGACTGACGTAATCCAGAATGCACTGAAAAACAAAGAAACGGTCGTGTATGCCTTCCTAGACATAGAAGGAGCTTTTGACAACACGCCACACGAATCTGTAAAAAGAGCACTTGCATATAGAGGAGTAGATAATATCACATCCAGATGGATGGCTCAGCTGTTATCTACGATAACTGCAGAGACACAGATAGGGCCAGGACACCATCTCCATCTGCACAACCAGAGGAAGTCCACAAGGAAGAGTTTTGTCCCTACTGATGTGGAGCCTAACCGTAAACGAACTTCTATGCAGATTGACTAACCTCGGCATACCCTGTCAAGGTTATGTCGCCAAAATATGGTGCACCAAAATATGGTGCCGTGAAGTGGGACTTAAACCCTACAAAAACAACACTAGTAGCCTTTTCAAGAAAAAGAAAACTTAATCGCAATACCGTTAAATTAGACGGGATAGATATAGAATGGAAAAATGAAGTCAAATATCTAGGCCTAACCCTATGAAACAAACTTTTCTGGAACACACATGAGAAGGAAGTAGTAAATAAGGCCACAAAAGCCCTAATGGTATGCAGAAACATTGCAGGTAAACGATGGGGTTGTAACCCAAACATTCTGCGATGGATGTATGCTGCAATAGTAAGACCAATCATCACTTACGGGGCTATAGCCTGGAGTAAAAGAACTAGTTTAGCTACTACGAGATCTAATATCTCAAAAATACAATAACTAGCCTGTGTTTGCATTACTGGTGCAATGAGAACCTGTCCTAGGGCCGCAATGGAGGTGATCTTAAACCTCACCCCTCTACATTTGATGATAGAGAATGTAGCAAAAGGACACGATATAGAATGATCAGGAACAGAGTAATCAAAGTTTGTTTTGAATTATAGAAAATTGTGATAATTAACATGGTAGGATTCCCCACTCGACCATTCACTGTTGGGTTCTAATTAACAGTGCTGTTCCTAAAGTGGCGCTGGGAAACAGTAACAAAGCCTACACAGAACACGAGGCGAAATAACCTTAGCAGTTGAAGCCGATGACACACCAAAAAAAAAATAACATATTAGATATGTTAATTATTTGTGTTCTGTTCTGATTTTTGTTTAGGTATTATGGATTTTTAAAAATAGGTGGTTTTAATTTTTTTCGTTATGTAATAAATTTTTTGTGAATAATTTAACTAATCTAAGCACTAATGTCTATATCTAGATTCTGTAAAATGTAATTTGTGAGATAATTAAGTTTGTATGTTGCAGCCATTTCTTTTTGAATATTCTTTTTTTATTGTCTTCTAATAATCACTTTCTCAATCCTGCCTGTGTTCCTTTTTCAGCTGGCGGTCAATTGTAGGGTATAAATTGCTTAGGCGATCAATTGCTACGGCGGTAAATTGCTAGCGGTCAATTGCTGGTGGTCAATTGCTGGCGGTAAATTGCGGGCGGTCAATTTTATAGTACGATTCAACTTAGAAAAAGCCACGGGCGTCATCAACTAGTCATCGTCTGCCTCACTTTAAAATATTTCTTCAAAGTTGCCCCAGATCGATATACCAGTAGCGTAGGCTCTTATTTAAATAAGAATTAAAGCAGTTTCACAACAAAAAACATTTATTGGATTAAAAAGTTAAATTTTAATGATTTAAACATTTGTATATTACCTAAATAACTAAACTAAAATAACATTACATATATTTTTCGACTTTAGACTTGCAAAACATTTAGTGGGAAGTAAATAAAAATAGCAACACAATTTTGTAATTTTTATTACAATTTAAATAATAGTTATCTATGCAACTAGTGGAGTACATCCTAGTTCGTCCGTTAATGAACTATTATACTCTGTTTTTAAACTAAGAGGAGCGATTTGAATTTAAGTTGGCAATTCTGTAGCCTTCTGATTGGTCAGATTACAGTCAGTTTCACACAGTACTTTTTAGCATGAACATCAGCTAATAATTGATATTGTTGACAGTTGAGAGAGAGGCAAATTATTGCGGCCTTTGTCAGGTATAATGTGTGTGGCTTTTTCTTAGTTGAATCGTACTCTACCTAGACCCATTTTATTGACATCTGTAAAGTTTTAGAAAACTCGCCTTCCATTTTCTGATACATAAAAATTGTTAAAGTTCATCTAGTGAAAATATGTTAAACCTGGTTATATGATGGATCGAGCGATAGTTATCTATAGATAAGTTCTCAGAAACACTAGATTATTTTTTATTAGGAACATAACTGTATCGGACCGATACTTATTCTTTCAATAATGAAATGTACCGGAAACCGGCCATTAGAGACACTTGAAATAAATAAATTTAAAAAATCAGATAACCTTTTAAATAATCAAATAGATAATTACTCACCTTTATTAAATCTACCTGTTTTTGTGTGTGATATTCTAGATAATGATAAAACCTTATTGGAAGTATTTTTAAATAAAAGTGTATGAAAAAATGTTTCTTTAAGATCTGATGTGACATAATCATCTTAAATAATATATTAAAATATAATTTAAGATTATATTAACATATCTAATATCTAATATTAAATTTTCCAAATAAATAAATAAAAACATACTGAAGTAAAATGTCAATATAGAAAAACTTATTTTATGCAAAAATGGTTAAAATATTCAACATATCCTTCCCGCTAAATTTCATTTTAAAAATATTGATATAAAATAATTTGTATATAGTTACCCTATGTTTTCCAGCATCTTTAGGGGTAAAGTGAACCTTGTAATGAAAATTATCCAATTTCTCTACATGGCAATGGACTGATTTTTTATCGTGGACGATGTCAGCAACGACTTCGCCTGGTACACCCACTGCTCTACAATCTACTTCTATGGCATGAGGAATTAGTGGCAATGCACCTTCCAGACCAGATACGAAAACCCCATTGGGATCGAAAACAGAGCAGGTAAATGGTCCTCCCTTAAAGCCAAAAATAGTCAAAATCAGATAATATAGGACATGGGTGCTTATGAAATTTAAAATAATATTTAAATGAATTTTCCAAGGATCTGATAATATATATATGTTAGTATACCTGAATCTGTTTTCCTTGGTAGGTTATTTCTATTCTCCATTCGCCAGCTTCGTCAGGCTTGAAAGTGGCACTATGAGTTCCGTCTACGACTGTCAAAGGGCAATCTAACGGTCTTCCACTCGGGCTGTAAGCTGTTACAAGTATATCTTCTTTTTTCGGAGCACCTAAATAAAAAACAATAGATATAATACAAGAAAAATGGAAAACAAAAGTAAAGAGAAATAAAGTACAAAAAATACAAGCGGAGAATAATCAAATTCAAAAGATCATATTATTTGATGGAATACCTTGTCTATCATGTTATGTTGTTATGTTGCAAATGGAGTGTTAATACACTATACACTGCGACCTAAAAGATCTATTGTAACCCTTTTTGTCATTAATGCAGCAAGGAAATGTTTCGATGCCTATAACGACTTTTCCAATCCTTTCTTCTCAGGGAAATTAGAGTGGCTTCAATTTAAGTGAATCTCCTTCTTCTATTTGATATGCTCAATACCCTTGCAGTTTGAATTCATTTAAAAAATGAATGGAGGTTTCATTTTTCTCCTCACAAAATCTGCATTCACTATTTTCTACTACTCTCAGTTTACTTAAGAGTCCCCGACACCAATTTTATTTATAATTGAAAAACTTCGGCAACTTCTTTATTTTCAAACTTAGAAGGATGCGGTTTTCACCGATTTATTCTAGATCTAATTCTTAAGAGAGGACTAGTGGCAGATTTTTATATATTTTTTTTAATTTTGCAAATAGGATGTAATTTTTTTTAATAAAAATAAAATTTAAAAAACTAAAACTAGTCCTCTCTTCTCATAAAAACTACAAATACAATGAAAAAACCGCATATTTTTATTTACAAAATTAAACCTTCCACCGTCCAAAAACTATTTACGTCCGTAATATGGCGCCCCGCTAATTTCGTTGCGGAATATATCCGTACTATCTTAAGAAAGCGAGAATACCTGAGATACACGGAAAAAACAGTTTTTATATTAAAAGGATAAAATTGAAGTTTTTAAATATATGCGGTTGTATTTTTTCCGTTTAATTAATTTAAAAAATATTAGTCATGTGTTGTCTCAAAGCGCGTGGGTCAATGGAGTTAATTTATTTATTTTTTATTTTTCTACCTCTAAAGCTAATACTTTTTATCAAACACCAATACAATTTGTTTTGTACTTAAAACAAATGAAAAACCGGATCTGTATTTTTATGACGTAATCGTAAGGTGTATTTCCAGTTCCTGGCTACTTCCTATTGTTCTGTCTATTCGCTCTTGCACTTACTCTAGATAGGTAGTTTTGTTTCTTGTGTCTATTTCATAAGTTTATTTCAGCATACGCTTATGATATTACAATCTCTGTTGGCTCCAAACATGAGCTTCCAGGAACATCTTCTGAAATTGGTCGTCTAGCAACTTTTGATGAAATCGATGAGGTTTCAGAAATACCTGTTAAAACTGTGTCAAAATATAATTTGGAATCACCGGGTATATTTCTAGCTAGAAGCATTGAAGGAAATAGGATAGTTAATATCACCCATTTTTTTAAACAGTTACAAGTTGTATCATATCATTTCAGTGGAGTATACGGTTGCACTTAAAATTTTAAAATTGTTAAGGAATTGAAAATGGGATTTTGTTCAATTTTAACCTTAAGATGTACTATGTGTAAATACGTTTGGACAGTATCGACATCCGATATTAACTGTGACATGGACATAAATATTCGAGCTGTGAATGGAATAACGAGTATTGGAAATGGATTTCGTAATTTGCAAGAATTATGTCTTAATTTAGATATTCCCTGCATGAGTCAAAGTACTTTTTCTGATAATCAAAATAAACTCTTTGAAGATATAAAGCAATTAGCGTTTAATAATATGAAAGAAGCAGCTAATGAAGAAGCTGACATTGCGAAAGAACAAGGAACTATTGGTCTTGACGGTGTTCAAGAAATTACAGTAATTTGCGATGGAACCTGGAGTAAACGTTCTTATAAACGAAATTATAATGCATTGTCAGGTTCTGCCGTTATTATAGGTAAAAATACAGGAAAAGTTTTACATCTGGGGGTTCGTAATAAATACTGTATGACATGTTCTCGATATCGCAACAGCGATAAGGAGATTCCGGAACACATATGTTTTAAAAATTGGAACGGACCTTCAACTGCAATGAAAGCTGCAATTATCGTTGAAGGTTTCAAAAATAGTAAAAGTCTATTGGGTCTCAGGTACACAAAATTTATTGCTGATGGGGATAGTAACTGCTACAAACAAATTTTAGATGCTAAACCATACAACAAAACAGTTCAAAAAATCGAATGCCGAAATCATCTACTGAGGAACTTTTGTAATAAAATTGCAGACTTATGCAAAAGTGTATGTGGACCGAAGAATCTGAGAAATAAAATAAAATCAAAAATATTAAAATTACGAACAGCGATAATGAAAGCAGTATAACATAGAAAAAATGAAGAATGTATAGACCATAATAAAAAATCTTCTAATCTAAAATGTGACATTTTAAATGTAGTGCACCATGTATTTGGACAGCATGCTGGCTGCGCAATATTGAAGTATTTTTGCACTAAGGAAACTCCAGATGAAGAAAATATAATTCCGGATTTAAAGTGCAGTCCTTTATTTGATAAATTAATGAATATGGTCAGATTGCTGGCAACCCATAGCAGTAGTCTTGTGTACGATACAGACAGTAATGTTGCTGAACAATTCAACAGCATTATTTGCATAGAAATAGTATAGAAAGCCGATTCCATATATCAAAAATGAAACCATAAGGAGAAAATAGTGTGTCGGAGCTCATGCGTATAACGGTGCTGGCGCGAACAGGACCGGTGCAAGTTTTTTATTGATCGAACAAATAGTTCGCACGATATTTCAATCATACATTTTTAGAGATGATTATATACAAAAAACGATTAAAAAAATTTCAAGTTAAGGTAAATATGGTTCTGACAGTCCTTATTGAGAAAGATATGGCATAAAAAATGAATTAGTTAATTTTCGGCAATCATTAGTACAGTAGTCATGAGATTTTGCTTGTGATTTTAAAAATACTTTCCAGAAAAACCACGTGCTCCGGTTTTGACTACGTTTATTATTAAACAGCGAAATTATATACAAAAACTTTAATCCGCAATCTAAATTAGGTACTATCACAAGAAAATCACTGTTACAATAATTAATTACTTAACCAAAAACTAAAATACTTTTTAGGTACCTACGTAACCAGAAAGGAGCTGGACCATTTATCCTAATATTGATTTTCTCTCTCCCTACGGTAAAACTTAAAACAATAACAAATTGCCTATCTACTAGGGTCGGTAACTAAACGTATATACATAATGGGCGGATTTTGTTTATACTTAAGGTGATTACAGCACCCCCTTATAATTTTTGGACAAGGATATCTCAAAAAGTAATTTTTTTAAAAAATTAAAATTTTGGCAAAATATATTAAGCAATAATATCTAGAATATGCATATATTTTAAAGTTTTAATTCCTTTCAGTTTCCGAGAAAAAAAATCAAAGGGCTTTAAATTTTGAAATATCATAATTAAAATAAAAGCATTCCTCAACAGCACTATTTTTAATATAATCCCTAAATTTAAGCTCTTAATCTTTTGTTAATGGTTTTTTAAAATTCGCCGAAATTAGTGGCTAAAACGCCTTGTTAAGTGCTATTTTCTGGTTTAAACTGGTGTAAACTGGTGTAAATCGTTGCAAGAAACGAATGATGACTCAGAGTGTATGATACGATAGTTACAGAAGCGTTACACTAGAAAGAAGCACTTAACGAGGCGTTTTAGCCACTAATTTCGGCGAATTTTAAAAAATCATTAACAAGAGATTAAGAGCTTAAATTTGGGGATTATATTAAGAATACTGCTGTTGAAGAATGCATTTATTTTCATTATGATATTTCAAAATTTTAAGCCCTTTGATTTTTTTTCTCGGAAACTGGAAAAAATTAAAGCTTTAAAAAATATGCATATTCTAGATATTATTGCCTAATTTATGTTGCCCAAATTTAAATTTTCTAAAAAAATTACTTTTTGAGATATCCTTGTCCGAAAATTATAAGGGGGTGCTGTAATCACCTTAACATTACACTCGCGCATTTAAATATAACTATGCATATAAATATTTACAAACAAAGATACTTTTCCAAACAGGCAATCATTAGTACTGTAGTCACGAGATTTTGCTTGTGATTTGACATCTTATTTGATAATATCATTTGCTACAACTAAATTTAATCTGGGGAGTGCAAAATAGGGCCCAGGAATATTATGTTCGATATTTTTTTACATTTTGTCAGCCGAGACTATGAGTCATTAGACAGAAAACCTTTCATGTTACCATTTTCAATATAAATTAAAAAATTAAAAAATACTACTACATTTACTTTGTACATATTTAATTTTAATTTTGAACCTTTTTAAAAGGGTCTTTCGGTTCCATAATAAAAATTAGTTGCTGCTTACTAGAAACATTCTATATAGCCTAAACCAATTTATAGTTTGTTTTCGATCAATTTAATACAAAGATTTAAAGTTTTCAGTCGATGATAACATTCCACACCAGCACATTGCAAACCTATTTTATAAATAATAGGAATAAACTTGTAAATCATTAATTTGGTAGTTATCTCACTCATATGATTTTTTTGTTTATATGACTATTTCGATTTCTAAATATATTTTGGCCTTACAATACGAAGCGTTTTGTATCTACCACTTTTTTAATGAACGATGAATGTTGGCAGGCGTGTACCTTTTTCGGAACAAGAGGCGTTTTAACGAAGGAAATGATTTTCGAACTATCTAGTTAGTTTTCGGAAAAATAGAAAACGTTTGAAGAAAGTTGTCAATAACAGTTTGTCGTTCATGTGTTTCATTTTGATCAGCTTTCATACTAAATTGCGTAGAATATTTTTCCGATTCAAAATCGAGATTCTCGATATTTCCACAGTTTATTTATAATACCTTCTAAACTGGATTTATCTATCATTTTATATACTTTATAATATATGTTCATGCCCTACTTTTCACTTTATTAACAATTTTTTTTTAACATACTTCAAAATGGTATGATATTCTCAATTTGTTGAAATATTTTTTTATGTATGTTGAG